AATAACCGAAACAAAGCCAGGACGAAAAGGGGCGCGAACTCGAGAGGTTTAAAAGACCGATACCCGCAATACGATTTTGACAAATTTCCCCTCTTGAAACAGACTAGTAGCGTATGCAGAATGGACGGAATTCTGTGAAATTGACCAATTGAAGAAAATGAACATTTTTATTATTATTATTATTTTTTTTATTCAATAACTTTCACTCAGCTGACTCGGAAGAGTAGCTCGACGGAAACTTTTCAATTCTCGAACTACTCGACATATCGATTGTCAGTAAAATAAAAGAAATGCAGACATATTTTGAGAGAGTGATCTCTGGTAACTGACATTGTGCAATTTCATATTTCTGTTTATGGGCTGCTTTCCGTCAGGGCTTTCAGAACGAGGCATATTTCCCGTATACTGTACTTCATATTTCTGTGTTAAGTGTGTTTTTTTTAAGGCTTAAAAAACGAAATTTGAAGTATTCCGCGCTTGAAGAACGAGGCATCTTTTTAAGTCATTCGCGCTTGAAATGGGCTGTTTAATAGTTCAGGACTTTAAGAACGAGGCATATATCCCGTATACTGTACTTCATATTTTTATGTTAAGTGTTTTTTTTTTTTTTTTTTAAGGCTTGAAAAACGATATTTGAAGCATTCCTTGTCTGAAGAACGAGATATCTTTCAATTCATTCGCGTTTGATACGGGCTGTTCCGCTCCATGGCTTTAAAAAAACGAGGCATATTTAGCTATGTACCACGCTTGCTTCATTTGCTTAAGCTGTTTCGCTTTATGGCTTTAAGAATATAATTATGCCTGTTTTATCGGAAAACTACGTTTCCCATGGGAATCTAACGATGCGTATAGGAAATGTACGGCAAAAAAAGTCCGCATCTATTATTTGTTTTCTTAGTGCTAAGGTCCAAGAAAAACAAAACTGAAAATTGGGTAAATTTTGTTCCACTATTAGTCTTGAAATGGCATGGGTTCGAATCTGGTCCGAGCCTGAATTTTTTGTTTTAGTCAACTTTTCTTCAATTGGTCTGGCCACTTAATCTGACATTAAAAATATGTTAAGTAACTACAAGTGGTGCATACCAATGAAACGGGAAGCCCGGCGACTCACAATATTGTGCGATTTGTTTAATGATTGTGATGGGTGGGGCACTTTACAATTTTGGTTTGCTTTTACTTAAAAAACTCCTTTTTATGATCATTATATTAAAAAATTCAAGTGAACTCGTGGCAATTGGAAGAAACTGTTTGAAGAAAAGCGGAAGCAGTGCAAGTTAATATTTTGATACTCGCATTTTTCATTAATAAGAAACCCAGCAAAGTGCGGTTACTGGCTGATGCTGGTCAAAAATCTTACGAATAATTTTGAAGCTGATTGTCTCAGTGAACACATTTAATGAGATGTAGTTGACTTAATTCGAGTAATTTACACGCATCTCACAGTCAGACTTGCAAGCGCGTGTAGGACACGTAGTTTCCGTGCTGCTCGCATGCAGTCTTTCATCTGCATGTATTTTTAACTAATAGCTAGTAGAGAACGCTAAACGTGTCAATTTTTGATCGCGTTGTACTCGAATATGGAATTACCACAAAAGTAGAAGCCAGATTTAGAAGAGGTGACTACTAACTCTTTTTAAACCAAGCTGTTTTCTTTTTAAGGATAGAATTATTTCACACCGCAATTCTATGCTTTTTGTGATAAAAGCTAAAAATCGGTCTCCGTAGAGAAAACGCACATCACATCACTAACGACCAAAACGAATGCATTAGTGGGAGAGACAAGGTAGCATAAGGTGCAAAGTTCTTACTCGAGATCACAACCTCAATCGGCTTTTCATTATGAAAATTTCCAGAGGATACATAATTATAGTTGCTATTCAGTACGTTATAGACATCTCTGATCTCTCATTATTCAGCTTCATTAGTTTTCAAAATAACCTGGCAGCTTTGGCGGGTAAACGAAAATAAGAACGTAGATCACAGTTCCGCAGGGAAATTTTTATTAACATGGGCTTTTCTTTCCTTAGTGTTTTCACAATGTTCATGCAACACTGTAGTTAGTTTCTACAACTTTTGAAATCAAATCTTACTGAGGGTGCTGGATTACATCCTTTGGCGTATCGATATTTTTCAAAATTATCGGAATCTGAATTCTGATCTTTACCCACTCAAATCATCAGGTTCTAATGAAAAACATTTTCAGGGCATATCTTACAACAAATTTTTCTAATATTTTATATGAGTATTTTGAACAACACATAATTTCGAGTTGCTCATTTCACATTCGTTTTTGTGTTTTTTTTTTTTTGGTTGGATAAACTAAACTGGGAAGGAGTCTAAACAATATTTAAAAGTTATTGTGAAGTACCTAACTGAACAAAAATGTAACAAATAAATAAACTCGAACACTTTTTAATACGCCTAAAGTGTTGAAAAATAAAAATAAAAAATAATAATAAAAGCAAAATTTTTTCCAGATTCTTCGACTCCTACCACGTTGGGAGCGAGGTAACTCTTACTGAGGTCAAAGAACGAGCCTTTTTCTCCTTTTTTTCCGGACTGTTCTGTAACTGCCAAAATTTTAGCTCACCTGTGTTTTTCATGGCTCTATTTGATTTATCTCATAGCAAATCAATCATCACATAAAGTTTTAACAGACCTACAGAGTTTGCAAAGTACATCTGTGGGAATAAAAATTAACTCTCAACTTTTTTTCCAGACATCTCTCCTACTGAGGAAGCCCCTGGGAATTTAGGCCAAATCCTTCGATACCTTAGTTACCGGTCATAATTTATCGCCCAAGTGGCGAAGTGGTGGAGTCAGAGGATCTGAGTTGTGTTTCAATAAAATTTAATTGATCCCCTGTGTGATCTGCAAGGACAAAGACTAATTTATTTTCAATTTGCAGGTCCAAAAAAACTTTATTTCATTGTGAAGTAAAATGAACCTTCGTTTTCGACAATAAATTGTTTTTAAGTGATTTACTGGACGAACTTTAAAAAATATCTCCAGTGTAATGAGCGCAATATTCCTGTTTGACCTAACAAAATGCTTCGATGTGTGTTACACCTTCAATTTGTTATAGATTCCCCTGAGCATGGGGGGTGTCAAATAGATGTGGCGCCCATTTCTGGTTTCGTAGTGTTTCCCCTTTTACAACATGGAATCAGAAGTGAGATTCCAATTGGAAATTGGTAAAATTGCAGCTCACCAGCGAAGATCATGCCTTTTTGTGATTTTACATTGGCAGCTCCAAATAAATAACTCTTTTTAGAAATACATAGCTTAAACTTGCGCAAAGAAGAGAACCATAGTTTTGACAACATACTGTTTGTAAATGATTCAAATGTGATAAAAAAAATATCCTTTTTTGACCTAACAACGTGTTCTCAAAGTGGGAGGGGAGAGGTGGGAATGTTTATTTTGAGCATTCATTGTATGAAGAAAAGCCCGATCTCAAAAAATATGGTCTTGTGTAAGGGGAAAAATCCATGAAAGGTGAATTTAAATGGAATTTTGAACGATTAAAATCGATTTCTGTTGAATTGCAAAACTTTCTAAACATTACTTTTTGTAAAATATTTTGAGATTAATATTATCATCTTGGACTGGGAGATAATATGGTCGCGCTTAATTAATATCTGGGAGGCACGGGTTCGAATCCCGTCCTAGCCTTTATCGCAAGTGACCATACGTACTCAAAATTAAACGAGTCCTTACATTTTTTTTTTGTTGGGAAAACTTTTTAACAGTTTCCATAATTTTCTTTCCTGTTCTTGAAAATTTTCAACTTCTCGCTGCAAGCTTTTTTTATGGAGACCCCCAAAATTGCGTGATAACCATCCATAGCATATTTACTGTTAGTAACCATATACTTTAAATTTAACCCTATAGCATCCATAATATAATCAGTCTTCTGGTTTTGTTGAAGAGACGTGCGGGAGAAAAAAATGCGAGCTCCGCTTTTAGGCTTGCCTAAATCTATATATTATCTGGGAGGCACGGGTTCGAGTCCCGTCCGAGCCTTTATTTTTTTTAAAGCTTAGTGAAAGAGTTCTAACGGAGAGAATATGTCACAGCCTGGATCGGACCAAAACAGCAAAAGAAGTAGGAGCCTAGAGTACTGTAATAAATGTCAAGACCGGTTAATATCAGGGATCAACAACGAAGGACTGATGTCAAAACTACAAAATATGGACCGCAGAGATAAAACAACGAAGGGCATCGTCTCATTTAAGACAATGCTACAGGTAGCTAAGACGGTTTGGCAATTGGAGAAGGTTAAGCAATAATGCAGCAAGCTTAAGTCCCCAAGAGCAAGTAAATTACACTAACACAAAGACACCCCAAAGTCAGAGCAAAAATGAGGTCAAGATCAGTCTATCCGCCAGCGCAAGGCTGACTCCTGTAAATATTGGGCAGGTCTGCACACCCTGGCCCTGTATGCCCAGCTTCACAGAGGTGATGCTCTAAGGAGCGCTGTGCCAGAATCGTACACTTTTCTGGTGCATGTCAAATGAGAGTACCCTCTTTAGCCATACCCTCTAAGGCACCAAACTCTAAGGCACCAAAATCCAAGCACACCATCTTAATGCCAGTTCAGGGGAAGAGTATGAAAATTGATCTCTTTGCAGCTGATATCAAACCAGAAATAAATGCCCAAACTGTCTACAGCACTTTATAAAATCCAAAAGGCGCGGCCCTCCGGCGTAAATTGTCCGGCCCCTTGGAACTGGGTCATAAACAAATCAATCAAGGGTTGCAGTTACATACTGCCTCCACATGCAACGCACCACCGGATGAAATTGCTCAATCGTTGATCCCTTTAGGGCAGACGATCAAAAACTATCTCACCCACAGCAAAGCAACTTTATTCACCTAAACTTTTAGCTCAAACTTATGGGTAAAAGGCAAGCCACTTCATCTTTCAAGCTCAGACTGTGCAAAGCTGGCACTGGTTAAGATCCCTGCAGATGAAGTCCATTGACGTGGAACTTCATATGGTACACTCTCAAACTCCCATCCTGAAGCCTCAGAACAGCTGCCAACAGCCGAGATCTCGCACGCCCGGGACATCCCTTTGCCACCGGAACCAATACTTGCACCACACATGTTTGATGTTTTCGCATCCAACCATACCGTTTCCATTCCGCCCTGCTACGATTACGCTGGAGTGGGTTCTTAAGAGAGGATGTCAGCATCCATCGGAAAAAGTTGAAATACTGTGGCAAGTCGCCCAAAATTCGTTTTCACTACTACTGTCATATTTTGTAGCCTAATATGTTCTAATAATTGTGATGTAGTTTCTTTGTTAAAATATATTTTCGTCTTCGAGAAATGATTTTTTTCGTTCGACCGCTCAAATATGTAGCATCAAAACAAAGACAGTATTAACAATGACCGATATGACAGAATCTACTGAGCTTCAAGCTTTTAAAAGACCAAAGGATGGTTATAAAGTTACTGTAAAAATTTTCCTGTGTATTTGTGTTCTATCTTGAGACGAACTCAAAGTCCAGCTTAATTTACTTGATAGCGACTAGTAAATATACATGGTGTGCCTACTTGTTGCCACCGTTGACTAGCATAAATCATTACGATTTGTAAAAAAATCTAACATAATACTCTTACCTTGTTTATTTACGATTTTATTAGCTGTTTCGATTATTATATTACGCTTGGGTATTAGTTTTTGACAGGAGCTTAGGTTTTGCGTTGTGTTTTCCCCTCCCTCATTTATATCATAAGCTAGTCACGCAATAATTGATACCGATACAAATGAATATTTACCATGTATAAAGAATTTTGTTTATGTTGAATTAATTTAATTTTACATCGGCAGCTCCAAATTTTTTTTTTTTTCTTACAAATACACAGCTTAAACTTGCGCAAAGAAGAGAACCGTTGTTTTGACAATATACTGTTTGTAAATGATTGAAGTGTAATAAACAAAATATCCCCTCTTTCACCTAACCATGTGTTCTCCAAGTGGAAGGGGAGAGGTGGGAATGTTTATTTCGAGCAGTCATTGTATGAAAAAAGTCCGAATTGATTATTTTTTCCTGATAATTGCTTACGTTAGGGGAAAGGCTCCATGAAAGGTGAATTTAAATGGGATCAGAAACGATTGAAATCGGATTTTCAATGCAGCCGATCGCATGGGCCAGTGGGCAATTAAAATTTAGAACCGAGTTTTGGTAAATACGCGATGTGATATGTTCATTTTGATCTGAATATTACGAACTAACGATATGTTCTTAAAGTGGGAGGGGGGAGTGGGAAGGAGGAGGTTGGAATTTGCTGATTTTGCTATTCTTGTCAACTTCAAATTTCTTTTCGACTGGCTGAGTTTTGAACTCTCCATCTTTCGGTAAATTGGGTCTCTCTGAACCCTTTTTGAAGCTAGTGGGATTAACAAAATTTTAATAGAAACTGAATCCCACTCCCACTAATAACAACGGCGATGGGATTTCTATTAAAATTTGAAACGGGGTCTTGGCAAATATGCCAGTTGGGATATAGGATTTGGATCCTGCCTTTATGAGCTGTAAACTGGCCCCTCTGCAACGCATGGACTTAAGGGCAATTAAAATTTGAAACCAAGATTTAGTAAGTACGTGAGCTGAGATATTGGATTTGAGTTCCAACATTACAAATTGCTATAGTTTACACGTGTGACTGGGTCTGTATAAGCTTCTTAAAAATCAGTCTCATGGGATAAGCAAGAAATGTCGTTTACTTACAGAGTAATCAACTTGGTGTTGTAGAAGAAGACTCCACCTGGTAGCTCTGCTATCTGATTGTCATGTAAGTACCTATGTAAACGATATTAAGAAAGACAATAAAGCAAATTAATCATCTCATAAAGTTTTAACAGACCTACAGAGTTTGCAAAAGTACATCTGTGGGAATAGAAATTAACTCTCAACTTTTTTTCCAGACATCTCTCCTACTGAGGAAGCCCTTGGGAATTTAGGCCAAATCCTTCGATACCTTGGTTACTGGTCATAATTTATCGCCCAAGTGGGCGAAGGGAGGAGTCAGAGGATTGGAGATGTGTTGCGATAAAATTTAACTGATCCCCTTGTATCAGTCACTATAAAAATGTGCTCTTGTGTGAGAGGAAAACACCATGAAAGGTGAATTGAAATGAGATTTTGAAAGATTGAAATCAGATTTCTGGTAAATTGCAAAACTCTGATTTAAAGATAAAGGTATACTTGTCCTTCTCAACAACATTTTTTGTAAAATATTTTGAGATTAATATTATTATCTTGGACTGGGAGATGATATGGTCGCAGTTAATTAATATCTAGGAGGCACGGGTTTGAATCCCGTCCGAACCTTTATGTTTTTTAAGGCTTCTTTTTTTCATCAGCTGAATTGCAGCTTACATGCAAGGAACATGACTTTATTTTATTTCCAATCCGTAGGTCCAAAAAATTTCATTGTGAAGAAAAATGAACCTTCGTTTTCGACAATAAATTGTTTTAAATGGTTTACTGGACGCACTTCAAAAAATGTCTCCAGTATAATGAGCATAATATTCCCGTTTGACTTTACAAAATGCTTGTATATTTGTCCTTGAACATAAGTTGTTTTTTTGAAGGTCACATTTGTTCTCAGCTCGTGCCCGGCTCTCCGTTCTTCTTCGGAACAGATAATGTGATACACAAATTGAAATTGTTATAGATAGCCCCAGCATGGAGGGGGGGTGTTGAATAGATGTGGCGTCCAATTCTGCTTTCGCAGTGTTTCCCCTTTTACAACATGGTGTCAGAAGTGAGATTCCAACTGGCAATTGATAAAATTGCAGCTCACCTGCGAGGATCATGCCTTTCTGTGATTTTACATTGGCAGCTCCAAAGAAATAATTTTTTTTTTAAATACACAGCTTAAACTTGCGCAAAAAAGAGAACCGTTGTTTTGACAATATACTGTTTGTAAATGATTCAAGTGTAATAACAAAATATCCCTTTTTGATCTTATCATGTGTTCTCAAAGTGGGAAGGGCGAGGTGGGAATGTTTGTTTTGAGCACTCATTGTATGAAGAAAAGCCCGACTTCAAAAAATATGATCTTACGTAAGGGGAAAAAAATCCATGAAAGGTGAATTTAAATGGGATTTTGAACGATTGAAATGGGATTTCTGTTGAATTGCAAAACTGGTATACTTGTCTTTCTAAACAAAATTTTTCGTAAAAAATGTTGAGATTAATGTTATCATCTTGGACTGGGAGATGATATGGTCGCAGTTAATTAATATCTAGGAGGCACGGGTTCGAATCCCGTCCGAGCCTTTATTTTTTAAGGCTTAGTGAAAGAGTTACAACAGAGAGAATATGTCACAGCCTGGATCGGACCAGTAAAAAAAAACAAAAAGCACAAAAAAAATGGGAGCCTAGAGTACTGTAATAAATTTCAGGACCAGTTAATATCAGGGATCAACAACGAAGGACTGGTGTCAAAACTACAAAATATGGGCCGCAGAGATGAAACAACGAAGGGCATGGTCTAGTCTAAGACAATGCTACAGGTAGCCAAGAACTTTTGGCAATTGGAAAAGGCTAAAGCAATAATGCAACAAGCTTACGTCCCAAAGAACAAGTAAACTACACAAACACAAAGACATCCCAAAGTCAGAGCAAAAATGAGGTCAAGATCAGTCTATCCGCCAGCGCAAGGCTGACACCTGTAAATGTTGGGCAGTTCTGCACACCCGTGCTCTGTATGCTTAATCGTTGATCCCTCTAGGGCAGACGATCAAAAACATGCAACTCACCCACAGCAAAGCAACCTCATTCACCAATGAAAACTCTTAGCTCAAACCTATGGATAAAAGGCAGGCCACTTCTCCCTTCTAGCTCAGACTGTGCAAAGCTAATACGGATTAAGATCCCTGCAGATGAAGTCCATTGACGTGGAACATCACATGGTACCGGAACACTTTCAAACCCCCATCCTGTAGCCTCAGAACAGCTGCCAACAGCCGAGATCTCGCACGCCCGAGACATTCCTTTGCCACCGGAACCGATACTTGCACCACACATGTTTGATTTTCGCATCCAAACATATCGTTTCGATCCCGCCCTGCTACGATCACTCTGGAGTGGGTTCCTAAAGCATTTCCTGATATGCATACCAGTTGGAACAGTGTGGGGAGCCTTTAACTTTTAATTTAGACCTGCTAGTCACCCTAGACCATGACGCTATCCACAGGCAGCCGCTAGCAAGACATGCCAAAATCAAAGAGCAGTTGGACAAGATGAAATGCGAAGGAAAGATATGGCGAAAGTCCGTGCCAAAAGCTTGAGTGCAGTGACATGACTATTAAGGAGGCCAAGGACGAATTTAGAATCTGTTTAGACCCATCAAACACCATTAAAAAAAGCAATGAGAGGCCCCAAGCATCCAATTCACATTTTCGGTGTTAGATTTCACGTGTAGTGTCATATGGCTTTTGATATAAATAAACCGTGAAAGTTCGGACATTGGCTCAACTACCCACGACCCGAATTTTGGCACCGGCATTTTGTGATAAATAATTTCCACCGTCGTCAAGCTTTTTTATGCCCGAAATTGATTTTTTTTTCGTTGTACCATGTTTTATTATTTATCAAGCAAGTTGATATTTTGTTACCGCTGAAGTAGATGCGAAGAATGTAGGAGGAAGCGTTTTGGCATAAAATAATTAAACTAATTGTGCGTGCACACAGTGATGTTTCTGATCGGGTATTTTGAGGTCGTTAAACGCAAAGATTATCGAATAAAATCACTTGTTATATCTCTCGGTTAGAACGTGCGCTATGATTGGTCCATTTAGCGCGCCGCATTTCACTCTTCGGCTCGCTAAATTCAAAAGTTTATTTTCAGCGCCAAAATGTCTTTTCAAGAAGAATTTTGAACAGACTTCTGCCGTTTGTCTTCCTCCAAAAGCTCTAAGGTAGGTCCAGCTCCCAAGCGATTACATGTCCTTTTTTCATCGCGTCAACAAACATCGACTCAATCTCAACCTGTCTTTAATCTTTTTGTTCTGTCTGCACCGAGCAATCTACCTGGCAACTTCCCTGGAAACGCCACAAAACACCAATAATCGGATGCTAATCGTTAGTAAGATCATTGTGCTGTTTTCGATCGCATTGATTAAATTTATTCATTCGTTTGACGTTGACATTGACATTGGACAAAGTAAGCCGTTAGTTCGCACTTTCTACGCAGAAACACGTTGTGCTTTGCTGATTTCGGGAATTTCAAAAACTCTCGAAAAAGAGTTACTTAAAACATGTTTTATCTCAATTTTTTGCAAAAAAAAAACCTTCGTTTACGTCAACTGTTATTTTCGTGCAATTTTGCATTATTATATTAACTATGGGTACTAAACGAACATTTTGAACTTTTGACGCCTCAAAGTTCAGTTTTTGACTTTTGATGTAAATAAACCCCGAAAGTTCAGACATTGGCTCAACTATCCACGACCCAAATTTTGGCTTGGATATTTTGTTGTAGATAATTTCCACTGTGGTCAAGCTTTTCTTTGTTCGAAATTGAGTTTTTTCGTTGTATTATATGTTTTATTATTTGGCAAGCAAGTTGATATTTCGCTACCGCTAAAGCGGACGCGAAGAATGTAGCAGGAAACGCTTTGGCGTGGAATAATTAAACTAGTTGTGTGTGCATACGGCGATGTATCTGATCAGGTATTTTCAGGGCGTTAAGCTATATGAGATTATCAAATAAAACCCCTCGTTACATCTCTCAAGTAGAACGTGCGTTATGATTAGTCCATTTAGCGCGCCGTATTTATTTTGTTTTGATCGCCAAAATATCTCTTCAAGAAAAAATTCGAACAGACTTAAGGAAAAGTAGACTAACGAGGAAAACGAGTAAAACTCAGAAGCAGATATCCCAAACTTTCGAGTCGGATTCTTCGAGTTTTTGAGTAGGACAAGCAAAAAACTCTCGACAACATTGTCACTTACAGAACGTCTTATCTCACTGCCTTACAGAAAACCTTAGCATACTTAAACTTTTGCTTTCGTGTAATTTTACATTATTCTAAAATATGGGTATTAAACGAATATTTTGAACTTTTCACGCCTCAAAGTTCAGTTTTTATTGGAGGCCAATAAAATGTTCGCGTGCTTAGGATTTGATGCGCGTTAATCATCGATGGCCGTTCCGCTTGAATTAAAAATTTTTCCCTCCAATTTGAATCAAGAGATATCATAAATATCTTACTAACCTTGTTTTTCTCGGTCCGTAAAGTAAGTTATGGAACCTCGTTTTTCCCGCGCACTTCGCGCTTGTGCCATAAATCCGAACGGAAAAAGCTTGGTCCGTATCTTACCGTACGGCCCTCGAACTCGATTAGTAAGAGGTATGTGTGATGGGAAATTAGTGCTCTCGAATCGCTTTGAAACGCCAGCAAGCCTTGATTTCCCTAAATTAAAACCGATTCATACGTGATGAACGAGTACGATTTCAGTTCCCCAAGTATACTAACAGAATGGTTACGACAAAGAGAGGCGTTTATGATACTAGCAAAAACGATTACCTATATCGCAATCCTGTCTAATAAACGCAAACGGCGGTTCCTTCAAGTTTTTCCATTTTCCTGGAGCAGTTTGACAAAAGCTGAGAAGCCAAAGGTGGAAAGAGTCGTGTCATCGAGGTGTGTCGTTCGTGTACACGAAGGACAGAATAAAAGAGAGATCTTAGTATTCCTTTACCTCGTCCATTTTGACTTTCGTTAAAGGTTGCACTTTAGCTACATATACATGAACACCCTCTTGTTTGAACCGAGTTGTTAACAAAGATTCACATCACCATCAATGAATAGGTATTTATCTTAAAATGATATATAAGCGGCGAGTCCCTGCCGAATCGGCTGCGACGCGTTCAAATTGTTGACAATGTTCAGGAAAGATGATTTGGGAATTTGCATCTCTAATTTATTGAATGGTTTGAGTAGGTGGTGTAGTCTTTTCCGAAATTTGGATCCATAGGTGGAACCAATTTTTCAACTGCAGAGGCGATTTCCACGATTGAAGTTTTCAACTATCTGCTCGCTGAAATCCCCCGATTCCTCGAAATATTTTAAAATTTCTGCCACATTGATAGCGTTGAAATCGGTTCCAATTTTGTTTACGCTTCTTGCTGCATTCTTCACATCTACTTTGGCGGTAGTGAAATAACAACTTGCTTGATAAATAATCAAACATATTACACAACAAAGGAATCAATTTTGAGTATAGAGAAGCGACAATGGAAATTATCTACAATAAAATGTCAAGTCCGTTCACGGGTCGTGGGTAGTTGACCCAATGTCCGAACTTTCGCGGTTTGTTTACAACAAAAGTCACGTGACATTTCACGTGAAATCGAACGTCAGAAAGGTAAATTTCCCGTTTTGAGAACATTTTGCCGCAACTGAAAGGTGCAAATTATTTTGTGGTAGCTGATGCAATATCTGGTTTCACCAACATACTTCAGATCACTAATGAAGCTTAGCCACAATCTCTCACACTCCTTTTGGCAGGTACTGGTGGTTACGTCTGCCCTAGCGAGTCTCCAGCGAAACGAGGAATATCAAACGAGACAGCAGGAAGTCCTGGCAGGAATGAAAGATCTCTGAACATTGCTGATCGTGTTCTTAAATATGGATGTGGAATAACACAGGAGGAGGCCGAGATCCCGGGAGGCCGATCATGATGAGAATCTTCACAATTTCCTGCTGCGAATGCAACAAGTGGAACTCGAGCTGAACCCAGCCAGGTAGAGGTCTAAAACCCCAAAAATGATTTTTACGGGATTCCAGCTTAACCCTGAAGGGGTCAGCCCAGCCCCAATCATAGTAGAAGCAATTTTCAGTATGCCGAATGCTGAATTTCCTCGCAGGATTTTGTCCAAACTTGAATAATGTGGTCAAGGCTTTAAGAAAATCCACCCACAAAGACGCTCCCTTTCAGTGCACTGACTCACATGGCAAAGCTTTTGTTGAGTCTAAGAAGCTCATCGCTCAGGGCCCTGTTTCGTGTCATTTCAGTCCTCAGTTAGCTTTAATACTTCAAGTGGATGTGTTTGGATTGGCGTTGGTGGAGGGTTCTTGCAAAATGATCAGCCTATGGTGTTTGACTCTAACATCCTACAGGCAACGAAGCAGTGCATTTCACACTCACACTTGCAAATACGTGTAGTGACACGCAGTTTTCGTGTTGCGCGCGTGCAGCCCTTTATCTGCATGCAATTTTAACTAATTATTAAGTCATGGAGCTAGTTAAGCACGCTAAATGTGTCAATTTTTAAAGGATGGAGTTATTTTACACCGCAGTTCAATGTTTTTTGCGCTAAAACCTCAAATATCGATCTCCCCAGAGAAAACGCACCTCATATCACTAGCGACTAAAACGAATGCGCAAGTGTAAAACAAACGAGAAAAGGGAAAATTTAGACCAACTTGGCTACACTAATCGTTTAATCGCGTGTTGCGCGCTTGCAATCTTCCAACTGCATGCATTTTCACCTAAATATTTAGTCATGGAGCTAGTAGAACACCCTAAACGTGTCAATTTGCGATTGCACTCTACTTGAATATGGAATTACCACAAAAGTATGAGCCAGATTTAAAAGAGGTGACTACTAACTCTGTTTAAACCAAGCTGTTTAAGGATATTTTACACCGCAATTCAATGGTTTTTGTGCTAAATTTAAAAAAACGGTTTCTGCTGGGAAAACGCACATTACATCACTAACAACTAAAACGAATGAGAGTGTGAGAGACAAGGTAGCATAAGGTGCAAAGATCTTACTCGAGATGGCTACCTCAATCGGCTTTTCATTATTAAAAGTTCTAAAGGATACATAATTATAGTTGCCATACAATACATTATAGACAGCTCTGATCTCAGCTTCATTAGTTT